GAGATGGTCACTTGGGGAAAAAAGACACAAGTTGTAACCACAAGAGAAAAGGACAGAGGGGATCACAGCAGACAAGGGCACATTAAAGGGGAAGGGGAGCTATGAGCAACTGGGTGGCGCTTCACTACTCACAGTAGGAGGATAAAGGACGACCATTATGCTCTAGAAAATAAGAAGCTGAATTGTCCCATGCCTGTTTAAGAAATTGCTAAGATTAAATCTTCCCTCATAGAAAATTATATCCCAAATGGTTTTGTTGGTAAATGTTACCAAACATATAATGAAAAAAGAACAAACTTACACAAAACCTTTCAGCAACACACACACACACACACACACACACACACACACACACACACACACACATGATATACGATTAGTATGCATACTTTCTTATTTTGAGATTTATGACACCATACAACAGTGAAAATAAGATATTGGCATAAAAACAACGGAAGTAGATAGAACCCACAAGTAAATAAGTCTAAATATCTCTTCAGTAAGTTTACTGGCTAAGTTGTAAGACATGTGCAAAATATTTTTGATATATGTAAAATACTAGCTTTGAACTTTACCTCACACCTTAAATAGACACAAAATGGACTTACCTCAAAGTGACTCACACTTTGGAAGGACTAAACTATAAATCCTCTAAACAAAAACACAGAACATTTCAGTGACCTTGGATTTGGCAAAGGGTTTGTAATTTCTTTTTTTCTTTTTTCTTTCTTTCTTTTTTTTTTTTTTTTTTTTTTGGTTTTTCGAGACAAAGCTTCTCTGTAGCTTTGATTCCTGTCCCGGAACTAGCTCTTGTAGACCAGGCTGGCCTCGAACTCCCAGAGATCTGCCTGCCTCTGCCTCCCGAGTGCTGGGATTAAAGGAGTGTGCTACCACCGCCCGGCAGGATTTGTAATTTCAAACAAAAATTATGGAAACTCAACAAACTAGAATTAAGTAAGTTTTAAGACTTTCATCAGTCAACTAGTTGTTAAAGATGCTAGTCACAGACTGACCTTGTGACCTAGCCATTACCATCCTAGATTTCGCCCCACAGAAATAACAATGCGCAGTGAGAGAGACTTGCACACGACTATTGGTGATAACTTTATTAGGAGCATCCGCAACCACTAGACAACAAGATTGTATATAAACAGGTGGGCGTACAAACAGACTGTGGCACAGTTCCACAAGACTCTACCCGGAAATTAAAGAAGTTAACTACTGATACACAAACCAAAATCAGTCTTCATGGCATCATTTTGAGAAAAAGCAAGACAGCACATGAGTGTGTGTAGCATGATTTCATTTGTACAAAATTCTAAAAAAATGTAAACCGTCTATATTGTAAAAAATGTAAGCTAGTCTATAGAAAAACAGATTCAGAGTTCTTAGGAAGTAGGGTAGAAACATCAACAGTAAGAAGAACTGATTACAAATTAGCACAAGGAAACATTTGGGGGCAAACGGATGTGCATATTGATAGTGGAGATGGAGTCGTGAGTATGCGCAGGTCAAAACTTTGCAAGTTGTACACTTTCAATATGCTCGATATGTCAGTTGTAGCTATGGCCTTGGTTTTTCCTATCCCTCTGTACTTGCATACTGGGTGGGGGAAATGGCTTTATAATCAAACATGAGAGTTTGATGCTACCTTTGCTCCTATAGTGCAACTTTAATGTAAATTACTTACAGTTTTGTGTCTCAGATTCTATTTTAATCTTAGTAAAATACTTTATGTGAGAATAAGAATCTATGTGTCCATGACATGTTTTATCCATAAGCCCATTCCCATTACTCTCTCCTAAGTGGACACACTTTTTGTATTTGACATATGACCTTGAGATATATGCATTAAAGAATATACTTTAAAGCAATAGAATGCCATTGACATAGATCATTTCTCCTTATGATAAAACTTAAAACCTATCCTTATTATTCTCTCCATCTCTCTATAGCCAGTTGCTTCTAAAAACTATTTTTTTCCACATACTGTACCCACAAAATTTAACTTATTAATTTCCCAACATGGAAAGTTCTTTTGTCTAATTGTCTGCCTTAGTATTTTTTCCTGGAAGTTCTCAGGCACATAAATCCTCAAGTGAGATGGCTGGGTCATAGCACAGCTGTGGGATGAATTTTACTCAGCACCTCCAACTGCTTTCCAAAATGTTGAATTAATTTATGCATCCACCAAAACTAGGAATTAATGACGTCACTAACTTTGGCCAATACAATGGATGTAACATTCATTCCAATTTTCACTTCTCAGCTTTTTAGTCAGTTTGACTACTTCTTGTTCTTATTAGCTACCCAGGTTTTCCTTTGCAAACCACATCCACATTAGTATTTGCTCATTTTAAAACTTTACTTGTGATGGCATTCCCCTGAAATGTCTGTCATGAGGCTATGAGTGTTGTGATGTAATTTAGTGAGTAAAAATATTTCACTTTAATATAGTCGCATCTGTCCTTTGTTAGCTTAGTTACTTAAAATATTCCTTTTGTTATGTGCAGAAGTGCATTCTTTAACTACGTATTTTTTTCTTTTAGCTTTATGCTGTTAACCTTGCTATCCTCTAATCTATCTGGAGCTTGACTTCTCATCTCCCATGGTGCTGTGTAGGTATACATTTCTTCCCATGTAATGATCTGTATTCCAAAACTCTCTTTTAAAGGGTTTGACTGTCTGTCATGACTGGAGAGATGGTTCAGCAGTTAAGAGCATTGACTGCTCTTCCAGTGAACCCTGGCTTGATTCCCAGCACCCACATGAGAGCCCAAAGTTGTCTCTACCTCCAGTTTCAGGAGATCCGACACAGGGGATTCACACAGACATATATGCAGGTAAAACACTGGTGCAAATAAAATAAATTATTTAAAAAAAGAGTTTGTCCCCATTATATAAGCAGTGTGTCTTTATCATTTACCATTTGAATATTTTTATAAAGAGAAGAATGATCCTAGAAGAGTAATGACTCAAAGTAATAAAAGTCAAGAGGTGTTTTTATCCAGCCTTCAGAACTACACATAAATAGGAAATGTTATTAATCTGGATTTTGGGTTACAAATAGGGAAGGAATCTTTCTATGTCTCTCAGATATAACAGATTCTTAAATGTCTTCAATGTTCAATAGCAAAATAATATTTTATATAATATTATGTAAATAATATATTTGTTACATAAAACTATACTTCTATAATAGTTTTAAGATCATAGTATACCTGTTACACGCTATTTTTTAAATTTTCCCAAAGTCTCCTGAATTTCCTGGAATGATTAAAAATACTTGACAAGATACAGCATTTAACCAGCAAGATTTTTTGTAAGCAAGGAAAAAAGGTCGAAGCAAAAGTGGATCTGATTTATGGCCCAGTTCAGTATTCTATGCAAAGAAAGTTCTCAGGGACAAAATACCCTTAATTATCTGTTTAAAGTCCATACATTTGCTAGGTTTAAATTCACATGTAGCATGAAATCTTCTCTCATGGAACTCGTGCTCTGTCTTTGTCTTGCTTTGAAAGTTAAAAAAAGAAAAACAACCAACCATACCTTTGTCCACAGTCTCGTTCTCACATGCAGCACTGCCAACCATAAACTTGAATGTGTATTCTTTTTTCCCTTTGGATTTGGTAAGAAATTATTTTGAATTTTATTGTTCTGTAACATTGTTCAATGATGACGAACAACAAAGAGAATATAAAATCAAGCAAGCTAGTATGTCTCTTAGAACCTCGAAGCATGAAGTATCCTAAAAATCTTAACTGAAAGTTTGCCATTACCTAGCTCTAGTATTCAGACTATCTGTCTTTAATGCCTAGTAGATGGAGTGGAATTTAGTAGCAGAATATCAAATTCAATCCACCTACCGGCAGTTGAGCAATGCTCACCACACAGACTCCTTGACAGTGTTGTCAGACTTGATGTGGTTAATCTATAAGTCTACAGGAGTTTTTGTGTGTGTTGATTTTGGTGGAAGTTTGAGACAGTATTAATCACCATTAAGTAACCAAAAAAAAAAAAAACCCTAAGTTTTGTTTTTACAAATTACACACTTGATATTCCTGAATTACCACAATTCATATGCTAGCATATTTTAGAATGTTTTTAGTCATGTTGGCTTTGGGAACGGAAGCGCATTATTGGCAAATCACAAGGGAACAAAGGGAAAGTCATGCTCACCCAGGTAGGAAATATCCAGATGTAAATGAGCCACCCACTCTTGTTAGATGTGGACTCTTCTAAAAAGAGTTTGAGTAACAGCCAAAAGCCTTAAACCATGGCAAAATCACAACTACAGACTCATGTGGGAGGTAGATTTAAGGCAGAATGTGTGGGAGACATGCATGTAGCCTATAATGCATCAAATGCACAACACAATGCGTGAGTTTCTGCAAACGGCACATCAGTTTTGGGATCGGCAATCGTTTAATCACAGTTCTTCTTGTCCCATGGCAGTGAATTGCTGCAAGTTCCATTCTTTGAGCAAAGCACCAAAACCAGCCCCGAACCCCATCCTGTAGCTCTGTGGACTAGGCGGCATGAGATCTGACGACAGCACTCAGGCAATTTCAGGGACTCGTCTGACTCTGCAGGAAATCTCCAAACACAATCAGGTTTGGCAACACAAGCGCGAAGCAAGAAACAAATCAACAATTTCCATGTGGACAACTCTGTGCTTTTCTATACAGACGTTTCAAGGATTTTTTTCTACTGAATTGATGATCATTAGCCTCAGGTTATCTTGAGACCTTCTGAAATCCATGTATGTAACACTAAAAGGTTTTTTTTTTTTAATGTTTAAAATCTCCTGAGTTAAAATAGCATCTTATATGGGAAAACACTAAGTAAGTTCAAAACTTCCTAACCAGACATAATTTTTTGCTAGAACATTTTGCAATTATCTCTACACTGTTTATTTAATGACTTAATTCAATACAGCCTACTTTTGTTCATCAATCATGTATTCCCAATATTATCAAAAAGACTTTGTTTCTGCCAGACACAAAATATTTTGAGAAATATTTTTATTAATTATAAAAATGGTAGTTTTATGATCCACTTTAAAAAATATTTCTTTGCTAATAGCATGATTGAAACATGACCAATGTTTCTAGGAGATACTTAAAGCTAATTAAATCCATTAGCAGCAGCATAAAAGAGTCTCTATTCACCAGAAGAATAATGACAAATAAGTTTGATTATGTGTAACTTAAAAGCCTTTGATCTTTTGAAAATATTTATATATGAACTTTCCATAAATTTAAGAGCTAATAAGTTTAATTTGCTATAAAAGAACAAAAGAAATAACATCACAAATGTCAAATACAAGGTTATATCAGAATGAAGAGTTCACAGCACAGTATTCTCCCTAAAACCCATCTGATATGCGATAAGATGGCTCAGGTAAGAATTAAAAATAAAATTTATGGTTATCTTGGAATGTGGACCTCATCTTCTATACTTCTGTCTTAGATTTCTTGGGAATATCCATGGATAAGCAGGAATGCGTGCACATGAATATTTATCGTCAAATAACTTAATAAATGTGTTATGATTTACAGTAAGGGCATCACTGGGACATCAGCAAAGGGGTGAATGTGAAGTGCTCATATTTAATGTTTACTCAAATTTTACTAAGGATGGACGCTTCCGGGTATAATTTCTCATGAAAACCTTCATCTCTCCTTGGAGAAATACGTGAAAGGTTTCCATGCTAAGTCTTCTTCCTGAAGTGCCTGGATCCGAATTACTCCCTCTTCACCAGTGTGTGCAAAAGTCACCACCTCCACACCCTGTCTTCTCCCCCAACATGAAGCGTTAGGGCAGCTTTCCGTTCTACCTTCTAGCACCCCTGTTTTGATGATCAGAATCAAGGGACTGGCTTTCTCTTCCTGTTACCTTCCTTCTACCTAGAATCCTCTGAATTTGCCAAGAATCGACTGCTTTCTAGTTCTCTAATTCGGGAACCACCTTTTCTCTGAACTAGTTTCAATGAAGTTGATTCTACTAGAAAAGATCTAACTGTTCCTGTCTACGATCCTTCCAGCACCATGTTTGTAACTGTCCTGATGAGGATTGTGATGTCTTATCAATCAGTGGTGTGCACTTGTTTTTCTGCCAATGGCAATGTCTTCATACCCTCCCACAGAGCCTGGTCCCAGGGCCTGACATCCAATAGATGTTCAATATTTTTAAAAATTGGATGAGTTAACTCCACAGACAAGATAAAAGGTGAGAAGCGGTGAGTATTTAACTACCTATGTCATTGAGTGAATTTTCTCAGTTGGGGAGGGGGGGGGAGAAAAGCAGAACCTTGAAGAAGTAATTTAGTATAAAATGATATAGGTAAAGAAAATTTAGACAAAAGAGGCAAGGAAAGGCCCCAAAATCCAACCATCAGCTCAATGCAGCTAACGTCATAAGTGAACTGAGTCAAAAGCAGGAACAGGGCCAAGTAAAAAAGAATTTTCTTCCCGAATAATTAACACTTTCTTATTTAATGATCTATTTTTGTAGGTACTCTTTAGGAAAGAGAAGATAATGGGAAGATATTATTAATACAGGAAGGGCTGTGAGTAAGAAATTGATGAATCCTTGTGATTCTGCCATTCTCTTCGAAAGGGATCTTTGGCTCAGTTTCATTACCACTCCAGAAGAACTGGAAATGGCTATTACAAATAGGAACTAGGAAACATTCAGTGAGGCCCTGCCTCAAATCAAATCCTATGCCAAGAGGCTTTAAAACATTCTCCCAAGAATTTTCTTGTCTGAGTCTGATATCATGAGCTCGATTTCAGAGAAATTTGGAGGTTGGACTGAGTGGCTGGTGGAGGCTGCGAAGTTAGTGGGGAGTTTTGGTCTGGCCATCTTGGGGAACGCTTTCGCAATGCTCCACTCTCTGCGCCTCCCTCCTTTAGTGTTTGCCGACATCATGACTCACCTATCACATCTTCTTGAAATTATTCTCATATTAAGAAACTTTAAGCCACGTCACATTTGCCTAACTGTAGTTTGAGGATCCCTCTCATATGGAGCTGGAGCATCTGATTAAATTCTTTGGGCATTTGGTGGAAACCACGCTTAGGTAACTTGTTGTCATAGTAGTGGTGACTGATAGGTGCCTTTTCTATATTTTTCGAGAAAGGCCAGAATCCGTAGAGCGTCACATTTTTACACAGTTCCACGGCGACACTCGCGATCATCAAGCCCGTGGACAAGCGGTACGCCGTCACCCCTCTAGTTCTCCAGAAAAGAGCAAGACGCCTCAGGTAACTGGGATGGAAGAAGAGAACTTTTTGCTTAACTTTGGAATCGTGGAGGGTTTGGTAGACTTTAAAGGAGATGCCTGTGTTGAACCTGTAGGAAAAGGCAGGCAGGAGAAGGAACGTGTCCCCATAGTTGGAAATGTCTTCCAGAAACTTTGTGTTCTTCCCCTTCAAGCTCTTGTATCTGTCAAATTAAAAAAAAAAAACAACAATCATCATCATCATCATCAACAACAACAATAATAATCAAAGTAATAATTTTAGTTATATGATGTCAAATACATATCTGATCAAAAATGCTACTATTTATATCCATTATATTAAAAAGTCAAACCACTGACTTTGAAACATCGATCAAGTAATATGTCAATATCAATACCTGGTTTTCATTCCTCTTTCTTGATCTACAGAGACTTATTAGCAGAAAGACATTTCTTCTATTAGTTTATATTACAACCCATTATCTACTGTTGCATTTGCTTTTCAATACCTTTAAACTTACTTCTAACCAAACATTATAGCCTATATATATTTAAAAGTCAAATTTTTCACCTATTTTACACATTTAATCACCAAATAGTTTTGTTCAGAGAGCCTATGCCCTCTATATGCTGTTATAATTTTCTTGCTGATTTAGGCTGTCACCCTCTTCTGTGTCACCTGATACCCGAGAAAGAACTCTTTCAAGTAAAATATTTCCAAGATTAGTTTTTGGAAGGCAGATACAGTGTTTTCTTTTCACTTAGAGACTCTAGAACAATTTGAGAGATCTCATCTATTACTAATGATCAGCAGTCTATCTCTTTGCTTCTGTTTTTTTTTTTTTTTTTTTTTTTTTTTCCCCACAGTGTTTCTCTCTGTAGCCCTGGCTGTCCTGGAACTCACAGAGATCCACCTGCCTCTGCAGTGCAGGCATTAAAGGTGTGTGCTAAGAGTCTCTTTCTGACAGGAAAAAAAATGCAACAAAGTATATGTGGAATTTTTATGAAGGAATCAACATTCTGCAACAGTTACATTACAGAAGCCATGGAAAGTATTCTGTATAACAAACTACTGAAAGTGAAAGCCAATGGGGCTTGTCAGGCTGTGTTAGAACTTCCTCTCAAACTCCTAAACAATTTTGTCAAAAAAAAAAAAACCCCACAAATACACACACACACACACACACACACACAATCAAGGAGAAACTGTATATAGCATGAAGACTCTGAAAAAAAATGGAAGAAACCACGCTCCCTATTTTTTAAGTTGAAGAGATAAATTCCCCTTTGATTAGAAACATGTAGCTCACGACACTAGAAGTACAACTGAGTCGTTCTTCTGACAAAGCCCAGCCTGGATGAGAGTTCAGCCTTGCAGATGGCTTCTTTTGTGTTTTCCCAAGAACCTGGCTCAGCTGTGGGGCATGCCAGCCTCAGCAGCAGCGGGAGAAATGTGTGACGTGGTCAGACAGCTTGCAGGCACTCACCTCAGCGTTATGATGCTGGGGTTGACAGTCACAAGATTCGTCTTGTTTCCAACATCTTTACTAGCATTCCCTGTGACTGGGGGGAGGTTGCACCTGGAATAAAGAAGAAAAAAAAATCTCAAAATGTGATCTATAAAAAGCAGATGTGGACACACACACACACACACACACATCTGACAGCTGTTGCAATTGCCTGGGAAACCAGTGAGAATTTCATATCTACCTGATTGCTGCTTGAAAATAACAAGAAGTACTGGACTCTCAGATGATGTTTCAACACTGTACAAAATGTCACGTGATTTTAACGTTTTCATTGACATTTGTAAGTATCAAAGCCAGAAGCGACAATTCATTCCTTGCCATGCTTCTGAAGAATTTTCAAGGCTTTTTATTGATGTTGTGACTTAGATCAACTATATTGATTGATGTTGATTATATTCTCACAATGGGATGGTCACTACAGACTTAAAGAACCCAAGGCACTGAAAATACAGTGATAGAGTCTCCCAGAAGCAAAACCTACATAGGAGCACTAGTATCTTCTGATATCTATATGGATAACTTCGTCACCAAGTTAGGTTATTAATAAAGGAAATTTGCAGCAATTTTTATCCAGCTGTCTTAAACTGAGTGCTAATTATTTTATTGGAAAACAATGAAGGATACTGATTTTGATATATTCCAATGACAGGAAAAAGGGAATTTTTAAAAAAACATTTATTTATTTATTATGTATACAATATTCTGTCTGTGTGTGTGCTTGAAGGCCAGAAGGGGGCACCAGACTTCATTACAGATGGTTGTGAGCCACCATGTGGTTGCTGGGAATTGAACTCAGGACCTTTGGAAGAGCAGGCAATGCTCTTAACCACTGAACCATCTCTCCAGCCCCAAGGGAATATATTTTAAATTTCACTTAGAACATCTGTTTAAAGGGGAGCATGGGAAGGAAGTACTGAGTGCCCACAAAAGCACTGTATACAGCTCTGCTCCATGCCCTACAAAACACAGTAATAAATGAAATATGTACTTCTCACTTTGCTATAAAATATACATCAAAAATATGTATTCATTATAGATAGGAGGCTACAGAAGGACCTTAACAGTGGCTCCCTGCAACAAGTCACAGACAGACAGGCATTCTTTTGAAGAATCCAGAGTGGTCTTGCTGTTGTTTGAGACAGGGTTTTACTTTGTAGCCCAAGTTGATTGGAGTGCCCTCTGCAGCCCAGGGTGGCCTTGAGTTTTCAAGACACTTGTTGCCTCAGTCTCCCAACTGTGGAGATTACAGGCATGAGACCCCATGCCAGGCTTAAAAGTACTTTCTAATGTAACAAGAGACTTTATGGAAAATGTCAGGATGCACACACGTGTGTATATGTGTATCATATGTGTGTAACATTTATATAAAATACGTACACAGATGTAGCAGGATATTTATAGCCTACTATATAATGTAGTTATGGCCATGCTTGTTCCATGTTTGTATCCCAGTGTTTCAAATGAAAACGAATGGGCAACTTCTATTTGTAACCAACAAGCATAGGCAAAGTAAGTACAGGCTTAAAAACTAAATACATTTTAATGACACCAGCCATATGTAGCCCTAGGTTTTATTTCAGTTTGAATGGCCAACGTCAGAAGAAAGAGTGTGTTCAGAAAGTCCTAGCATCAGCTAAAGTAGAACCTGGAAATCTGGGCCTTGTCCTAAAGTTATCATCAATCAAATAACTGCCGAGAGTCTTTCCTAGACTTTAAGGCTAAGCTGTTCTTTCTATGGCTGCTATAAAGTCAAATTAATGTTTTTGCATAATACCCACCACAGATGTTTGGGGAATTTGAAGTCTATAAAAAGCCTAGTACATGAACCATTATTTAATCTTCGTTGTGATTCCCCCACCACATACAAACACTGAGAATGTGAACAATGGCTGACCCATTCCAGTATGGGCCATGTCAAAGTAAAACAGGAAAAGTGTGAAAACTGTTCCATCATGAATTCAATGAGTGTTCAGTAATTTCTGGACCATCAGATCAGCCGCTGTGTATTTACCACCAATATAAATCACCAACACGAGCTGAGCGTGGGGGAGGAGCTGTTTGTGAACCTCCTTTGTGGTTGTCATTAATATGTAGAGCAAGTATCATCAATCCGTGGGGACCAAAGGGCCTTGATGTACAAAATCGATGCTCCCAGAAGGTAAAGAAGCAGACACCTGCTGCTCCCTCTTTTAAGTCACATTACAGCTAGACAAGTCAGTGATCACTAACATGAAGCACACACAGAAATCAACTTTGTATCTGTTCTTATAACTACCTTGTATCCAGACAAAACTGCGTGACCAGGCCAGCACTGAGCAGATGCGTAGTGTGAGCTAACTCTCAAGCTGGAAAGCAGCGCTGTGTGTGATGACACAAAGTCTAGGTCAGCATCTTTCCTAGTGCGACTGAAGAACAAATGCCCCTGCACTGGTTTGTCAGAACAGAGAAATCCCTCCTGGGAGACTCTCCAAGGGAACCGTGGTACCCACCCGCAGGCTGAAGCCTCTAAACAGCCGCCCTGCAGCCCCAAACCTTTCACTGTGATTCCATCCAGTTTCTTCTTGCATATCCTCGTGCTGCTGACGTGGACAAACTGAGGAACTCGTGAGTCCTGTGACCTCCAGTAAAGCCTACCTGGGTAACTTGTAGATACTAGCAATGCAATCAAAAGGCAAAGGCAAAACTTGACACATAGGTTGTTTCTATTACCCTTGGTGTCCAAGAAACCATCTTGATAAGACTCACCTAAAAACGAAGTCAGCTTTATTAATTTCCGCTCCACAGAGAGACTTGTTCAGAATTCCCCCATTGCCAACCACGGCACACTGGTTATAAGGGTAGTTCACAAAAGGCTGGGACTAGCAGGAGAGAGCAGAAACCAATCATCACACAATTGCTTGAAAATTAGGACCAAGGCTACAATGTGGCTAAGTTGACACCATCTAATTCCCAGCACCCCCAAGAAAAAAAAGAAACCACATTATCATCAGCTGGATCCTAGCTGTGTGCTTAGAAGAAGAAAAAGGGGTAAGAAAAAACAAAACAAAACAATCAGACACGGACTTTGGGGAGGGTTAAAAAAAAGTAGCACAGGGGCTAGAGAAGATTCCTCCAGTAGGAGCATTTGCTGTGAAACGGAGAACTGAATCCAAATCCATAGCTCCTCATCAAATCCAGAGACATGTCTGTAGTAGAGCCTGGGTAGGACGAGGCAGGTGCATCCTGGGAGCTCCAGTTTGTGGGCCAGCCAGTCTAACTGAAACCATGGGCTCTGGGTTCCACAAAAGCCTGTCTCAAAACAGCAGGTGTACAGCGATTGGGGAAGGCACCCAACATTTGGTGCTGGTTTCTTTGTGTATGAGTGCCCTTGCATATGTGTGCACATATACCATACATAAACACATGCAATGTCTAATTAATTAAATAAATAAATGCATAGCATTATGATCAACTTATTATAATTAAAAAATATCATGTAAGTTTGTATCATTTCTCTTGGGAGAAATAAACACTACATAAAATGTAATAAAATATAAGACAAAAATAATATTCTTATAATATAAGCTACAATATAAATTTTTAGTTAATACAGAGTTTCTCCATATAACAGCCCTGGATGTCCTGGAACTCAGTCTGTAGACCAGGCTGGCCTCAAACTCATGGTGATCTGCCTGCCTCTGCCTCCCAAGTGCTGGGATTAAAGGCGTGTGCCATTACCACCTGGCTTAATATATACAGTGTTTCTGTTGAAGCTATTTTTATCAAGTAACCCAGGCTGGGTTCAATATCACTATGTAACTGAGAGTGGCCTAGGATGCCTGATATATCTTCCCCTACCTTCCATGGACATATCATACTACATAGAGAAATTAAAGAAAAATGGGAAAACCATGTATTGTGTCTTTCCACCAAACATGAGCAGTTCAGAGTTAAAAAGAGAGAAAACAAAGAAGTTGGAAAAGAGCATTAAATCTGTAACTTTAATGTGTAGAATTAAAGATAATTTATCAATACTTTCTTTGGTTCACTAATCCTTAGACATGTAGTCTCAGTGAAGTCATTAGACTTATGGTGGCCAACCTATGGATGGCCATCAGTGTGCTTTGGGGACTCTCTAGTCTGACATTTTCTTTTATCCCTTCCAAGACTCATCCATACTGTTTACCCTAAAGGGCTGCCCACTTCCCCCACATCCTCCTCGTATAAAATAAAACCTTGCCATTTGACATACATGTTTCTCTTGCGGATATATTCCCTTCACATAAAAGAATGTCCTAAGCCCTGCACACACACCAAAGTGATGAGATCTGTTTGTCCCTTTCACTGGAGACACAATGTCCCTCTCACAGACAGAGAACATGTGTCTTCATTTTTCATTCCCCCTCATCTCTCACCCCAGAGCTAGATTAATGCAGTGCTCATAGTGTGCTTTCCATAAGCACTTGCTGGTCCAGTGCTTCCCCCCTAGTGCAATCCCATTTGTGTGTTAGAGCTGGCTCATTTGACATCGCAAGAGATGACTGGGCAACACTCAGCAACTTTGCGAGCTGGCAGTTAAACCACCAGCAACAGAAAATTGGCCGTGATGTTAGTATCTAAACCAAAGAGTATGGGAGAGGCTACAGAACCAAGGCACCCCCTCCTCCCCAGAGCAAAGTCACTGGCTCCTCTGGCAAGATCCTAGGAGTTCTGAGCTCCTCAAAGTGCTCCAAGACCCTTGAGTCACGATCACTGCCACCTCCTCACGACACTGCCTCTGAGAAATACCCAACAGGCCCACAGTTTTCTGTAAGCTTGTCTTTACATTTTAATTGCCACACTGTTATTTATTGTAAGAGAGGCATTGTTCCACACGTATAACTTACTAGCATATTTAGTTCACACAGCCACTGTGAGCATTTTAAATGTAGACGAACCAGCTGAAGCAACAGCTCTGGACAGGCAGAACTGGGCTTGTGACACAGGTAGGCTGGTCCAAGCCCCTGCCCAGTCCAGTTTCTTTCTAGCCAGTGAGTGGATTAGCATGTTCATGATGCAGTTCATCCCTGTCTATCCAGAAGGCCATTGTCGTGCCTGGCTTTTAATGAATGCTTCCCGGATAGAGAAAGCTATTTCTCATTTTTGAAATCCAAGCCCAGGATGGCTCCACAGTAAATTCTGAGTTTTATAGACAGGATGGAATGCACTACTGCAAATACGCTCTTTATGGGAACAATTGAAAAGATTACTAAGGGAAACACATGTCAAATTAAGCCCTCAAAATAACGACTGTTTTCACTGCTTTCTTGGTCAATTGGGAAGAAACAGTCATAGGTTTGGTGAACCGGTGTTCAGTGGGAGCTGAGATAAAGTACAAACTTCAATGTTCCCCCAAACAAACCAGCATTTAGAGGCAGTACTTCACTTTTTCTTTTTGATGGAAAAGTTTTATGGCAAGCTGCTCCATGCCTGGTGGTCCTAGGAGGTGTGGGCACAGAGGAGCAGGGGACACAATGTGGACCATGGGAAGGAGGCCTGGGAGGAAGTCGGCTCCATCCTGATCCCTAGCCATGGAAGGGGAAAGAGGAAGCAACACATGGTGACAATGTTTTACCCATGTCACCCAGCAGAATTTCCTGTTTGCCAACTGAAACCAAACAAATAATCAGGGTAGTTGGAAATGAGTGCAGTTGTTAATAAACAGAATTATCAACTTTCATCATCTTTCAAGCTATGTTAAAGACAGCATCTCTGAGCTGGGCAGCAGAAAGCAAGGTCAACACCAGCAAGATGTGCCTGGATGGAGAGATGCCACTTACTCGGCTATCCTAGGCCTCCCATGGGCATAGCCACACTTAGTTACTAGCATTGATTTCATTTACTGGTGGTTTCAATGTATCCCACAAATGTTTCATGAGGGTCTTGTTTGCTTTGGATGTTTTTGTCTGTAATTGGAGTTAGGGGATGAAACTCAGAACCTTGTACCTACAAGTGCAAGAATTGCATGTATAAACTACCAAATGCAACAAAGATTTTTTTCTTAAACTTTCTTGAGGTAGACTTATTTACAACAAACTGCATTCTTTGGTTGTTTATAAACACCAAATTTATCTTTATTTTTAAAAATCTTCTCTCCATGAAAAACTTTTCTGTCCTTTTCATCTAGAAAATTTGCAGCATTTTTATCACTTTCAAGTTATTTCTCACTTATTCTCAACTAATTACTCTTTCTCTGAATTGTAACGCAAAAATATTGAGTTAACTTACATAAGCCACACAAAACTAGTTTTGAGAAGTCAAACATCTAACAAAGGAAAATGAATTATGAAACCCTATCTACAGATAGCAAGCTGCACAGATCCCATCTGATCATATCAGTTTGGTCTAATTGCTTTTAAACATCATAAGGAAGACATCTGTGAATTCATGATTATAAGGAATGAAGTGTTTTTCAGGACAAAATCTCCCTCAATTTTGTACTTGTAGTACATGAAAATTACATTTTCTCATTGTGCCAAGCAGCAGAGGACATATCATTTACACGTGCTTATTTACAGACATGTAGAGAGTGTACATTTATGCTTGGAAACATTCTAGGAGCCTGGGATACAGCAGCGGACACAGCAGACAATATACTTTGTCTTGTGGATGTTACATGAATTGTCCATGAATTCTTATATAGTGACGTCACTAAAGTAAGTCACATAAGTCTTTTGTACGAGGATGGGCTTAGTCATCCAAAATGACAACCGAAAGAGTCTGATCCTAGGCAAAATGTGGTGGTCACCTCCCCAGCCCCAATCAATAGAACCCTGAAATGCTGTGTCTCAGCTTATACACTGAGGAGTCTGGGGGGGATGGATGGCTCAAAGAATTTTTCATTTATGTAATAAACTCTCTTTTTAGGGAGCCACGCTGCGTTCTGAATTGCTTCCATAGGGACTGGGGATGTATCTCAGAGGTACAGCCCTTGCCAAGCATGAGCAAGGCCCTGGGTTTAGTCTCGAGGCGGCAAAACATAAAAATAAAAGAACTGGACTCTGGCAGGTCTACCACTACACACGTCCCATTTGTCATAAGATAGCATGCTAGCTTTAAAATTCCTCATTCATTAGTTACAACCTCAAACCAGCCTTACTCACCACTGGGAACATTTGGAAAATGTTCTCTCGGATGGGGATTTGCCCCTTGCTTTCCACCTCATAGCTCATGTTGGTCCCCATTGGAGTGTTATTCTGGGAAACCACGAAGGTCTGAACTGCGTCACAACAGGAAGCCAGCTTTGCCCTACAGTGGATGAGAATAAAGGAATAAGCCGAGGAATATGACGAAGACACCAAACACGGACATGACAATGGATACAGCGCAAGGGAATCTGGGCTGTTGTGTTTCAGCAGGAAGACAGGCCAGGCACTGAGGTGACATCACTCCTCTGCAGCCCCGGGTGGGACGATGGTGACCTGTGGGGTGTATGTACGCCCTCGGGTGGAAGCCAGCTTCACAGAGGCAACAGTTCTGAACACAACAGTTGCAGAGATAAAAAAACTTCCTTGCAATTAGATTGCCAAGAAAAACAGAGAAGTGAAAGAATCCATCCTTGAAGTCCCTTAGCCATTGCTATGCTCTGTGAGGTTTCAGTCGCCCATGGGAAACTCTGCTCCAAGATAATTTCAAGAGGGTGAGCCATTCCACAAAACTTTAGTAAGAACATTGTTATTTGTTGCATTTTTAAATTTTTTTTACATTTTACTTTTATGCATATGATTGTTTTATTTGCACGTATTTCTGAGCACCACCTGCATGCAGTACTTGCGGAGGCCAGGAGAGGGCATCAGGTCCCTTGGAACTAAAGTTACAGATGGCTGTGAGTAGCCATGCGGGTGCTGAAAATCAAACCTGGGTCCTCTGGTAGAGCATAGGGCCATCTCTCTAGCACCAAGTTCTTTGTTGGCTTGTTTCCTTAACCTTTATTTTTCTCTTGTACTTTGCATCCCTCTATTCCTCCCAGGCCCTTTCTCTCTCCCCCAGATCAACTCATCCTCTGTTTCCCTTTAAAAGAAAAAGATCAGGTCTCCCAGGGATATCAACGGAACATAGCCTCGTAAGATACAATAAGACTGGGCACAAACCCTCATATCATAGCTGAATCCCAATCCCATATGCAGCAAAAGAGTCAGAGACATCCCCATCCACATTGTTGGGAGTCCCACAAGAGCACCAAGCTATGCAACCATCAGGCATATGCAGAGGACATAGCTCAGACTCATACAGGTTCTGTGTTCTTGCTGCAGTCTCTGTGAGCCCCTACGAGCCCTGCTTAGTGGATTCTGTAGGCTGTGTTATCCTGGTGTCCTCAACCCCTCCGACTCCTGCAATCCTCCCTCTCCACTTCTGCAGGGTTCTCCTGACTCCACCTAATGTTCAGCTGTGGGTCTCTGCATCTGCTCCTCCAGGTGCTGGATGGTGCCTTAATGATGACAATGGTTTAGCCCAAGTTTTAACTGTATTTTTATCATGAATTACTGTGGTTAATCTCTTACTGTGTCTAACTTATAAATTAAACATATATGTGCACTACAATCTATATACATATATGTAATATACATAAACAATGTGTCTATACATATATACTATGCATATTCAATAAATACTATGTATATATGCCATATATTTCATGTGTGTGCATACGTAATGTACACATATTATATATAATACTATGCCATATATTCTTTATATACATATCTATTATATATGCACTATATACACACATAACATACACATATATTATTCACATATATATAATAATATGTGTAAGGCCCAGCATTACCTGGAGTTTCAGACAGTCATAGCTGGGTGGGATCGAAAATGGATCTCTCAAGGATAATAAAGAAAAATATTATACCATTGTTTTGTAATAGGCCTGCCTGAGCTCCTCCTCCGAGCCCACCTCTGTCCCCTTGGAACTTGACCTTGTAGTGAGGACTCAGGGTCCTCTTAGTTCTTTCCCAGAGTCCCTTTCAGCCCTTCCTTTTATGCCATCTCCATTCCTTTGTGACTTTCCCACCAACCTGCAGAATCATTCTCTAACAAGGTTTCACAACAGTCACCCTTGGCTGGGACCGAGAACAGAATACCCACCCATCAAGGTGAAACCTGATATCTACATCAAGATGTACCACAATCACCACAACTCCGGATGCCTAGATCCCAGTGCGAAAATACATAAATGAACAATCAACATGCCTCCCCAGATACACACTAGTTAAGTGTGGTGGCTGTGGGTAGAGAGTGGCTCTGCGTGTTGGCAGGGAGTCACAAAGGGATGAAGATGGTTAGGAAGAATGGCTGAAAAAGGCTGCAGGGAGAGTCTGGGGGACCATGAAGTCTATTGTAATGGACCCTGAGAAAAGCAACTCAGCTGAAGCATGAGACAGGTACTTCAAAATGGCAATTCTGAGTATGTTCAAGGACTTTAGAGAGGATGTGTATCAATACCTTAATGCAGACTGAGAAAACAGTTGGATGAGATAATGGAAACAATAAATAAATAAAATTATTCATTTTTATTGCAATAAATGCAATAAATAAAAGTAGAATTTATCAATTGTTGTGTAATAATTATAAAAATATAAAAACTAGTTTGAGTAGCATTGCAGTCACCTACCTAATAACATATAACCTTTTATTTGAGAGCAATCGATAAGTACAATGATTTTTGAGAATTATGAATTTGGGTGGTCATTCCAAAAGAAATTCCAGAAAAAATATCAATTACTATTCAATACATTTAGAAGTCCTGGTTATTATAACACAGGCCAATGTTAAAATTTCATAACTTACATGTTGTTATGTAATGCTTTAGGGACGTTGATGTCAAAGCATTTCTTAATAATTATTCCAGGATTATTAATAAATCTTAAAGCCAGGAGAAACTTCTATTAATACAACAAAGGTATCTTTTTGCTGAGGTCTGTTTTCTCTGTCCATTTTCATAGGAACTCTTAGAGTAACTGAACATGGAAACCAAGCACCTGATTAACCTTTCAGCCTTGCGAGAATCTGCAGAATTTCCCCTTCCTTTTGTGTTTTCTGAATAGTAACCATTTTTTATTACTTTCATCATCGTATCATTCTTGAAACTTGTCTTTTTTCCATATTACTTATGAAATATGCATACAATTGGGACCACATACATTGTCTGTAAGTGGGACCTGGCTGTAAGAGTCATTATAACAGGTCTTTTCCAAGTCCACGTTTATTGTCGGGACGCACTTTTAGACACGTTCCTACTGAGTTTTGTGCATTTGAATTGACATGATGCTCTGATGTGTTGTGCTCATTTAAAAGTTCCCCCTCCTGAATTTCAGGAATTCTCATTGAATGGAAAGTGCAGGTAAAGTCATCCGTACTCAAGGTCAAGGCCTCCTACAGCACTCATCAGGCAACTTCCTTCATAACAATGCTGTACTCTTCTTAGTTGATTTCTGCTAACTGCTTATTGTTTTCCGTCCCTTAGGATCTAACATTTCTAAAAGAAAGTTCATGAAGATAACCAAAGCAAACAAAACAAAACAATGAAAACAAAGGAAATAAAAATACTAAGTAGTTTTTAATTATAAACTTAATTTGATAACAATTCCTTTGCCACTCTGCAAACTCAAAACTTCATTTGTGCTTATCACTTTAAATGTCTCCTTAATCCAGCATACTAAGAAAGGGCAATATAATAAATTCGCATTTACTTTTGAAAAGTAATTTATTAAAGATATTCAGTGCTTACAAGACTACTACAAAACAAAAAAAATGCTAACCAGGGTTTCCAATTAGTGTTTTTTTTTATATCAATAGGTATTTCTGGAATTATACTATTTAAGTGGATTGTAATAACATTTTTAAATTTACAGGAAAGTTGGAAGTTGAAAAATGAGCACTTGCGTAACCACCAGCTGGATTCTACAATCAACTCTTTACTAAATATGCACTGTTGCATATCTGTAAGTCATATACACTGTTGTTTATCTGTCTGTCCATAGTGACTGTTGTTGTTTTCATCTGTCTAAACTGAAGGTCTCATTATGACTCAGCTTTCAACACCTCTGTCCCCAGTGGTGTGGTGGTTTGAATAGGTATGGCCACCCACTGACTCACGTGCTTGAATGCTTGTCCCATCGGGTGGCACTATTAGGAGGTGTGGCCCTGTTGGAGTGGGTATGGCCTTGCTGGAAGAAGTGTGTCACTGCAGAGATAGGCTTGGAGTCTCCTATGCTCAAGCTACACCCACCTTAGCACACAGACACACCCCCTGATGCCTGTGGATCAAGATGTGGAACGCTCAGCTCCTTCTCCTTCCGTATCTGCCTGCATGCTACCATGATGACAATGAACTTAACCTCTGAACTTTAAGCCAGCCCCAATTGAATGTTTTCCTTTATAAAAGTTGCCATGGTCATTGTGTCTCTTCACAGCAACAAAACTCTAAGACAAGCAGCAACCACTTTTGTGGTTATTTTTCACTTTAGACTGGTTTTGCTATTACAGAATTCTGCTTCACATGTGGACCACATTTGTTTGGCCATTGACCTTACATTCTTTAGGAAATCACAATAAAAATGATCATCATTAGCTGCATGGTGCATGGAAGCCGGGTAGTCCATTCATATAATCCAAGTACTCAGGAGGCTGCGGGCAGGAGGATGGAGAGTTCAAGGCCAGCCTGGGTTGCACAGTGAAACCTTGTTTCAAACCAAACCAAACAAACAAAAAGGACCAATATGAACATCTAATGATGAAAACTGCCCTCCTGGGAAACACCAACACATCAGAGTAACATTTCCATGCCTGCCTTTAGGCTGACAGGACTTGCAGACATCTTGTGGTGTACAAGAGAGTGATAATTGAACATGCTTTGTTTTACCCCAGCTTGTCCATGCAGAAAAAAAGCATCCAGAGGTAACAAAAAACTAAGCTGCTTCTAATTACCAAGGAAACCAGAAAACAAACAACACAAAACAACAATAAAGAAACTGCTATTCCTTTCCTATCCCCCTAAAACCAGTACGTCCTGATGGGGTGATCTGAAGCCAACCATGTGCCACAGTGATAGGCTTACTGTTTCTTCCCTTCTTGTGAAAAGCAAGGACACATTAAGAACTAGAGAATGTGGCTAATGTTAATTAAAACCTCACTTCTGGGCTCCTTACTATTTGCCATGAGAGGTTTCACAGCCTTCTACAGTAAGTGTTGAGATTCATGAGCCACACACCTGTAAAGCCCTGTGTACTTTCCTG